TTCTTCTCCCCAGGGAAGGACAAGACTGGCAGAGGGTCCGGAGTGTTTTTCAAAAGAAATTAATGAAACCAGTGGAAATTATGAAGCTGGACCACAAAATCAATGAGGTCTGCAGACTGGGGTCAGCTTTCCTGGGTCTCTTGAGGACATAGGATGTTAGTGAACCTTTGAGTTCCACCTTTGAAGTATGGGAGAAAAAGCATATAATTGGATGACTCGGGGGTCCTCTCTTTGTCTTTGTTTCACTCTACACCCTTCAAGACCCCAATTTCTGACTCCTTTAATCTCTTTTAAAGTAAAGTTGTAATGAAGGAACAGTTATGAGCACAGACCTTATGATTCCATAGTCTTGGATTTGAGACCCAGCCTTCCACCACTAAGAGCTTGATGATACCACTTGACTTTCCTAGCCTTGATTTTTTCAGTCTTAAAATGAGAATGTAGCTCGTATATGTTGTAATGAAGGAACAGTTATGAGCACAGACCTTATGATTCCAGTCTTGGATTTGAGACCCAGCCTTCCACCACTAAGAGCTTCATGATACCACTTGACTTTCCTAGCCTTGATTTTTTCAGTCTTAAAATGAGAATGTAGCTCGTATCCCAAGGTCATATATAAAATAATGCTTGTAAAGTCCTTAGGTAATGACACTTGAGCTGGGTTTTGCAGGATAAGCAGGAGTCTGCAAGGCAAGGCAGAGGGCAGCAGTCCGGCAGAGAGGATTACGGGCCAAATATACAGAGGCACGAAATGGTGCGATGCGTTCAGAGGGTCCGTGTCCAGTGCAGCTGAGGTGAGGGTTTCTCTGAAATGACTGTGGACAGACAGAAGATCTCTGTGTGGTTTGTGCCATGCTAAACTATTTGGCCAGAATTCTCTAGCCTAAGAGGGGTTTTTTTTCCTCTCTCATTGAGTTTATTGGTACATTTTAGGGATACAATACAGTTACATTCATCCTTGGGATCTTGTACCTTTACATGACAGGTCTTGGTTCTCATTTTTTCCCCTTGCCCCCGCCCTCCTTTCACCCCCTCCTCCCTTCCCTATTTAAAATGACTTTATTTCCATTTTCTCATATTTTTTTCTTTTCCCTTATTCCCTTTCCCCTACCCTTCCCACTTCCCCTACACCTTTAGCCCTTTTCTTCCTATTTCACACTGTAACCTAACAGGGTTTTAAGCATGTAGTAATCTCATTTCATTCTTTCACTGAAGATGTTCATTCTGAACTGCTCTCAGACCCAGATTGGTTCCTAGAGATGACAGATTGCAAACATAGAAGCTTCTAAGGGCCATATCATTCATACAAAATAGCAAGACAAACACAATAAGGACTTTAGAAAACAGAATTGTGTGTGCCCTTCCTCGAGGGGACAGCTCCCCCCATTCCCAGAAAACTATGCTATGTGGTGTTGCACAGCCAGTGTTACCTTGTAATAATCTCATCATTATTTTCACTTTGATAAGTAGTGGTAAATCCATATGTCACAGCCAGGCATGGTGGCACATGCCTGTAATCCCAGCACTCGGGAGGCTGAGGCAGGAGGATCGCCATGAGTTTGAGACCAGCCTGGGCTACATAGTGAGTTCCAGGTCAGTCTCAGCCCTGTCTCAAAACACCAAAAAGTAAAAAAATCCATATTTCACAGTAAATCTCTATTTTTTATTAGTAACAAATTCTAAGTACTTCTTAATGCACTATGTGAGCAAATTAAACTGTGCATTGGTTACATGTGCAGGCATTATAGCCACACACCCTGTTTTAGGGTCCAGCACAGCAAGTTATCAATTTTGTTCCCAAGGAAGATTGATTTAGCCTCTCTGAGCCTTATTTTCCCATCTCTTTCATGGGAAAATGGAACTAGGACAGTAGCTACTGCCTCATGGGTTGGCTGTGTGGACCAGCTAAGGTATTACACTTAGTGCAGTGCACAATCTTATTTCGACCTCATGAAGTGTGAGGCATTAGTCATCTAGAACTTGGTTCTTGGAACAGGCATCTAAGGACTTGGGAGACTATCCCAGATTAGAGCTTTTCAGTGACCGAGTTGCATTCAGAATTTGCAGATCTAGTTCCAAGAGCAGTATACTCAACAAAAACAACTGACCAACAAAATGCTGTGTTTTCACCCAGCAAGAATAGAAATAGAAGTGCAAACCTCAGGATAGTGACTCTGTCATGGTCCTCCACCTGCTATGTCAACTGGGCTGTTTCCTTCCTTGTGGTTTATTCCCCCGTTCTGATGAGAAGAAATGTTTTCCTCTTCTTAAAATGCCAGAATCACTTTTAGATCAAAAACTGAAATGTAAGCCTCACGGTGGCTGCAGGAAGAGCTCAGGACCACCCAGGACAAGGTCGTGAGGGGATAAGGTGGCTTGGGGAGGAGAATGTGTAATTAGTGCTTTTTCCCAATGAGTAACATTCAGAGCAGTGAATATACAATGTAGCGGACCCTTCAGTTAGCTTACTGAGCTGGAAACTTTTGTTTTCCTTCCCTGAAATTAAAATGTATCTTCTGTGGTGGCTTTCTCTTAAGGTCTTGGCTGACTTTATGGTTAGAATAGATGGGCTCCGAGATGAAAGAGGCCATATCGAAGACTTGTACAAGGAACTGAACAAATGGTCATTTGAAAGTAAGTTGTCTTCACAGACTCATGCCCTTCATTTTGCGAGTGGTTTGGGAGATAAAGAGCAATTCTAGTAACAGTTTTCCATGATGATGCACACTGCTGCCAGCAAAGAAAAGGTCACCTAACGTTCCATGCTTCTTTTAGGTACTTAGGTTGCGCTTTGCACCAGGGTTGTTTATGAAGTAGTTCAATAAATATGTATTGAACACCTGTTCAATGCTAGGCACAGTGCTACAAACTAGAGGAAAAAAGAATGAGTTGCCAGGGAAAAGCAAAGCAAGGGCGACTGCGCCAGGAGTGAGAAGTAACCAAAAAGGAACAGATAGAAGTCCTGTATTAGGGGCCGTGTCCTGGAAAGGGATTGTGGGCAAAGGCAGGCGGTGGGAAGAGACCCGTAGCCGGCTCCTAGAAGGCCTTAGAAGGCAGAGACAAGAGTTTGGATTTGAGCCTGGAGGATTGGGGAGCTTTGGTGGAGTATGTTTAGCAGGGGGTGCCCTGGACAGAATAGCTGGGTCACTGTGGCTGCTAATGGAGAGAGGTTGGACAGGGCGGCCTCAGATGAAGGCTCTCATAGGGTCTCCTCTATCACCAACCTCATTTACAGCTAAGATAGAAAGTCCAAAGCAAGTAAGAAATCCACAGGAGGAGGAGCAAAGGGAAGGAATGATTATAAAGAAGAAAAGAAGTGTATGCTTTGGAAATTGTCCACTGGAAGTACTCAAATTAAGGAAGCTAAAAGGCATTTAGTTGCCAGGCAAAGAAAAATGTGACTGCAGTGGTTTAAAAACTGTAGCCCAGCATTGTGGGAAGCCTCGAGAACCACGGAACCCAGGCTTTTTACAGCCTTTTCTTGTCCATCCTTAGCTCGTGAACTAATGAGCGCTTCCCTCCCAATCTTACCTCTGCATTCTAGGCAGAGATGAGAGAAGGAAGAACCAATCCAGCTACCCAGCCCCAGGCACAGTGAATGCAAAAGGAGCATTTCTCATCCGTCTGTGCCCCCAAACTGGGTCCTGTGGTTGCTCTGAGGAAGGCTGGGAATCGGGGACCGGGATTGTCATCAGAGTCCTAAATCAATCCTGATCTTTTGCCTGAGGATGGATACACTGACACCCTAAGTAAAATCAGGGCTCCCTGGTGGGAGGAATGGAGAAGAATGAACGTTGGGCAGGCCATTAACAGTGTCTGCCACATGTGACACCAGTGACACTCAAAAGCAAGCTGTTACATGAGAGATCCATGTCTAAAGAATGCTGCATTTGCACTGTGCAAAATTTTGTAGATTCAATTTGCAATGTGCACCCCAAAATTCACCACAACTGGAAAACTGGCACTCGTGGTTTGATTCTACCTGTACTTAGTGGTTTTAAAATAGCAGAACATGCAGATGGACCAGCTTGCCTGCTTCTATAGCACTGTAATCCATTATTGAAGGTGGGAAAATGTGCTTTTGGATGTTTTACAGTGGGAGCCAATTAGCTATTGAACCTAGGTATTCATAAGCAAAAAAGTATTATCTTAATTTTAATATGCTTTTTAAAAACAATAATCATCTGCTAAACAGGCATGTTGCAATTTTTATATGTGTGTATACACTTTGTAGTATTCCCTATGACTGCCTACCACTGTATATTACTGTGAATATAAGTAATTTTTTAAAATGTAGAAGTCCACAGACCACCTGAAGATATCAGGCACACTCCCGGTTGTATCTACCCTGCATATTGTGGAATAAAAATGTGCACCACTTTGAAAGGCTGAACAGGATGAGTGGAGTTTGGGAAATACGGACATAGTCAGAAAAGCCACAGAGCTGTCCTGACTACATTTATCGACTCTCGCTTCTCACTTTCTAACTTTAGATTAGTCATTCATCCTCCTAACGCAGTATCCTAGTTTGTAAATTGAGAGCTAATTATCCGCCTATCGAACAGTGCTTGCAGTGATCCTGAATCAAAAGAAAGTGGTTACAGAAGATAACTTTTAAGACAACCGGGGAAATTTTTAAATGTAGTAGGTGTATTTTGAAATGGGTAATACTCTCAGAACGTTAGTGACATTATAGTTGTAGAGCAGAATATATTTCATCTTAGGACTTTATTGCTAAGCTATTTAATTATGAAGTTGTGAGGGCTGGAAATTATGAGTTGCAGTGGTTTTGCATGCGTACTTATCTATACACGTATACCCGAAGAGCAAGTAATTGTTGCAAAACATTAATGATTACTTCACTTGAGTTCAAAGGACACAGGTATTTATTTTACTGTTCTTTCAACTTTTTTGTAGGTAAAAAGGTTTTTAAATAAAAGTTGATTATTTTATTTTTTTAAAAAAAGCTTTGCCTGAATAAAATGAATAAACAGAAGAAAACATCCATAAAGCAGTAACCCAGTACCTGGCGAGTAGCGAGTGTTCAGTGCACAGCCTTCTGGTCTCGTCCTCACAGGACGGCTTCCCCTTGGTCACAGAAGGCAGCAGAATGCAACTGGAGCTAAAGGAGGGGTGGAGCTCTGATGCAGCCACACCTCTGACCTAGACTTTTGTGTGATGGACAAGACCAAGGACAGTGTAGCTCTGACCAGAGGGCTCTTAGGGGACGGGCCACTGCACCCAAAAATAATTTCTAGAAAGGGAGGGGAGAGTGCATGCCCCTTTCTTTCAGATTGTTCGCTTTTCCTAGATGTTCTTAGACTTCTTTGTTTTTTCTTAGAAAAGACCACATTTTTAAAGGACCCAAAAGCGAGTCTTTAATAATCACTTAATCATGTACACCACTGTCGTTACAATTGTGTAACAGTGACAATTATCTTAAATAACAGGCATCTGCCTCATACTGTATGAGAAGAGATTTGGGCTCCTTCAGAAGAACATAGGAGAGGAAGCTCTGAGCTTCATCATGGCCATCAAAACAGTAAGTGCACTTTTAGCTATCAGCTCTCCCAGGATTGCTTTATGCATCTTAATAAGCATGCATCATGGTGGCTTCCTAGAATTTACATACGCACATTTTATTTCAGTGGTTCATTAATTTAGATGTGTATATTTGTGTGTGTGCGTGTTTGTACATGTTATAAAGCAAGTTAAATCCATTGTGTCTTTGTTAGGCGAGGATATTTTAATTCAAAAAATTATGTTTATGCCTATTTGAGATGTTCCCATTAGGAATCAGTTGATGAAAAATATTCCTCAAGTATCTGAAGTTTTTCATTGTTTAAATACTGGACCAGTTTAGGTGATGTGTGCATACGATAAACACTTAAATTAATTTGAGAAATGCTGAGGTTAGAAAATTATTAGAAATTGAAATGAATATGAAAGCCATGGCCCCCTCCCTCCTTTTGGTTACACTGAGCTCCTAAGTCCTAAAACTTTTATGAAGCATATCCCGGTGACTTTCATTATTCCACTGCAGGAGGAGGTGGAGGGCTTGGTTCCCAGGACCTGCTAGGAGGGCCCAGGAATCCTCTGACTCCGGCCTTTGGGAGCCGTGGTTCAGGAAGCTCCTCCTGCAGGGCGATCATTGCCGTTGACAGAGTTGGGGATGAGAAGGCGTTTGTGTTTTCCCACAGATGATGAGCACTTTTGGGAAGATGATGGTCACCCCAGTCGAGCTGCACAGGAGCCTCAACACCAGAGTCTGGCAGGCACATACTCTGGCCTGGGACACCATTTTCAAGTCAGGTACCACTGGCCAACTCAATCAGCTGCCTTGCCTGGGCAGCCGTGGATGGTTGGGAATGGGCTTCTTGGTCTAACACCTTTGAGCTTAGAGTTGAATTGCTCACTCTAACTTGTTCGGGCTTTGCATGTAGACAAATTCTAAGGAAAGTCAGGAGGTCGATTTCTGCAGTCTTCTTTGGGGAATGAAAATGATAAAGAAGAATCTTTAGGGTATTGGGGATGGAACCTAGGCCCTCACACATGCTAGGGGAGTCCTCTACATCCCCAGCCCTATGAAAGTGGCCAAAACAAGCACTTTGGAGTCAGAGCCCCCTGGATACTCTGTGCGTGATGGCTTGGCCAAATATGCAACCACCATTGCGTCTTTACCTGCCTTGTCTTGGATGAATGATAATTATACCACCTACCTCATGCAACTGCTCTTAGAAAACACAAACCACTCAACCTGCTACAGTATGCCACAGTGGTTTGAGCTATTTCTGCTAGCCAAAAACAATCAGCCTTGAAAATTAGAGATCAAAAATTCCAGCCCCAACCAGCCTGTCCTTGCCTATGGGCCATCACTATTCTCTTGTTCAGTGGCTACTCTGTCAGGCAGGTAGGTGGTGATGCCTGGGATGGAAACCAGGCAGGCGGGTTTCAGGATTCCAGTGCTGACTGCCCTACCCTTAGTGCATATGATTACCGTGACCGTCACCATTATTCTTAAGTCTGGAAGTTACCATGGGTTAAAGTGAGGGAGACACGTGCTTAAAATATACTTTATAAATGCTAAAATTTTTGTCATTATCAATATGCGTGAGCACTTTGTACAATGGGTGTACACGTGTGCGAGTTCAATGGATGTGTATTCAGTAAGTTCTGATCCTGAACATGGACCCAATCTCCACTTCCTCTCATGTTGACCTGTCCCAAATTCAGCTCTTATTACTCAGAATATGATCCCAGACCCACATCATCTGCACCACTGGAGGACTTGTTAAAAATGCAAACTTCCAGGCTCCAACCCCTGACTCAGAATCTGCATATTAAGAAGGAGAAAGGCATTGGGAGCTTATTGAGCAAAGGGTCAGCATTCCTGAAAAGATCCTTTAGATATTGCAAGAAAGATTTTGGTCTGATTTGTGTTCTTTTCTTTATCTTAATTTTCAATTTACTTCCTCTCTTTTTTTCTCTCTAATAGTCAAGTCGTGCATCAATAGCAGATTAGAGAAATATTCTCAGCAGCCCAGCACAGATTTCCTTGGTGACATTTATGACCACAGTCAGCTTTCCAGGAAAGAAATGTATGCTGCCACCACTGAGATCCAGCTGGGTGCAATAGAAACGGTAAGGTTGGCAGGGGGTTAGCTTGTAAATACACGGTCTGGGCAGCATCCTTCCTGATGCCTTTCAAGTCATTGTTCACCTGGATTCACTGAGCATTAGTCTAGTGAAACTGAAAAGTCCCAGGCTAGAAGCGAAACGCACAGCCTCTTGTGCGTACCTACCAGGTAGGAGATGTCGTGTGCCCTGGTGTAGAAAGCCACAGTAGAATCAGACCAGTGCCATGACAACCGTGCACACTACTGCAGGACTTTCGAAGCAGGAAAGCTCCCCATCTTAGCAAAATGGTTTACATTTTTAAAAACTGGATATATTTTAGGCCATTGCATGTGTTACCTCCCAAAATACCAACCTGTGGCTGGTGATATTTACTATAAAAATACTGAAATGCCATCTCCCAGGTCAGTATTTTTCCTGCTTAAAATTATAAATATAATGAGCTTGGGATAACTTGATCTTAATTGAAATGAAACAGCTAATTTTAAATACCAAAATTTTGTCTCAGACTTGGTTGGTCAGTAGATATCCCATACAGTGCAGTTCCAGACACAAATACCAGTATGGTCATTCAGGTTTAACTGTTCGTTTCGTTCACTTTCTGAGTTATCACAGAAGAGTTGTATATTAATATTTGTCACTGGCCCAACATTTCATACACCTAAAAGTCTCTGTGCAGCATGTAAACTAGTTCATTTTCTTGCCACAGGTTCCCCTTACAGAGTATCTCTGGCCTAGTGATATAGTAGGGTTTTCTGTACCACAGGGACAGCATCCTTCTCAGTTCTCCTCTTGCTCTGGGAGACTGGGAAAGGCAGGAAGCCATCCCAAGTGGCTGACCTTCCTATTGCACTGCACACTCTGGGAGGTTCTGTGAAGTTTTATCTGTTCTTCCTTATTCCAGCCCACATGTGAGCTCTGGGAGTGCAGTGACTTCGTTTTGCTCACTGCTATATTTAGCACGTAGCAGCATTGTAGACAACCAGTACATACTTAGTGGATACATGAAAGAAATCAGGAAACACTGAGTACTTACTATGTACTAAGGACCCTCCTAGGTTGTCAAGAAACCTCCACAAGCCAGAGACAAAGTCTTCCCCTCATGAAACTTGCCTGATGGGGAAGACATGTACACAGATAGATATAATCATTTCAGAAAGTGGTATGTGCTTTGGGGGTGTGAGTAGGGGTCCCTCCTTGGAAAAGCAATTCTAGTGGTGACTCAAATGATAAAGTAGAGCCAGCATTGAGAAAGCCTGATGGAAGAGCACCAGAGGTAGAGGAAAGTACACATGAAAAGGCCCTGGGGCAGAAAGAGAGATGGAGCATGAACTAGCAAAATTACTCAGAATTGCAATTACACGAGTGAATGGTCCAGGTGAGTCAGGGCTGTTTGAGACTTAAGGCATTTGGGTTTTCTTACACCTCTAGTGGGAGGCGCTCCTGAAACATTTTGAGCAAGAGAATCACCTGGTCAACTTGTACTTTGACAACTGGACTCTGGCTGGTGGATGGAAAATGAACTTAGCTGAGAAAGGACAGAAGCAGGAGGCCAGGAGAGGAGCTGAGTCTCCTCCCTGGAGGTCAGGCCGGGATAGTGTGGTCCTGCAGGTGTCCTACAAAGTCCCAGCTATGGTGGAAGCTGTAGTTTTCCACCTTGTGGAATCTTTGTTTGGTAGATGTGGCCAGGGACTCACTGATACAGAATGCACTTCATCCATTTCTCTTTTTTTAGTCATTGCTATTCTGAAAGTCACATTTGGAGGATCAGAGAAATTGAAAAGTGTCTCTAATTTGGTGGCTACACCCTCTTCCTGTTTGGTAAATGGGACTCTTAGAGTAATGCCATGCACGGTTTATTTGCAGCCAAATCCACAGTCCTCTGACATAAAGAAGGCTGCGTTGGTGGCACTGTCTTCCAAAAATAATAAATAATCATTGGCTCTGAATTCTCTTGCACTCTGCTCTTTTGCAAGAATGGCACATGGTACTTAAACAGCGTCTTTGTGTCTGCAGAGGGAGGAGGTGATGACCATTTGCAGCAGAATATTTAGCTGAAGTTAGCAAGGCCTAAAAACAAATACATACAACTACTGGTGGTGAATATGATGTAGGTCAAAGATATACTGGCTGGTTTCACCCTTATTTTTTTTCCTTCTCATTGCCTTTGAAAAGTAAAAAAATGGCATCCATTAGGACTGTCTGAAACTGCAACCAATTCCTTAAAATCCTCCATTGAGTGGTAGAATTTCTTCTTCCAGTGCGGGCATCCTCCTACCAGGGCTCTTCGCATGTGGCTGGAGCCCTGATACAACTTTTCATTATTGTGTTAACCTTTTAGAGTGTGACCAAAAGAACTTCTGAATTCCAGAAATGCAGCTCCTTGTGCTTTTGCACTGCAAGAAAACTTCTTAAAATTAAGGCTTTATCAGCAGCACACCAAGGATCTTTATCGCTCACTTTTCTCAATTTTCATGTGAAACTGGTTTTATTTAAAATTTTTATATTTTTAAGATCATTATAAACCCACATTTAATCCTAAGAAAAAAAATAGAGTGGAATCTTTCACCAAGTTTCCCATAGCAGTACAGAGCAATACACATTATCACACCCTGGGAATGGTCACAGGTGGTCTGCAGTCTCTGTGTCAATAATAGTTGTGTCAAACTATATTTTTAATTTCTCCTACCGCCACTGATTATTTTAAAAATTCTATTTTGGCTTACCCAGTAAATAAGTTATCCATACTTTTTATGTTTTGCATAAGTCCGACTTCAGATACTGGATTTGTATAAGACAGAGAAAATAACACATGAGAAAAAAATGTCACCATTATATTCACAGGGGCAAGGGGGAAGCCATCACCTTCTGTTTGGCCAGTCACACTGAAGCCATTTTATTTGCTGAAATTGAAGTTTGTGTCTGCTTGGTTTTCAGACAGCAAATAGCTTAATGTGGATTCTCTACAATTTGTCCCGTAATCCTCAAGTGCAACAAAAACTTCTTAATGAAATTCAAAGTGTATTGCCTGAGAATCAGTCGCCACGGGCAGAGGATTTGAAGAAAATGCCATACTTAAAGGCTTGTCTAAAGGAATCCATGAGGTAAGAATTTATATCTAAGCCAATAGGAATAAAGCACCCCACTCAGACAATGCCCTTATCCGATTATAGACAGAAGAACTTGAGATGGTATTTATTTCTATCACTCATTTCCTAAATCCTTTTAAAACTCTGTCAAATCTTGGGAAATCAGGGCCTTGCCCTCTTAATCAGTATCACTGCTACTCTAATGAATGTTTTTAGTACCTGTGAAGATCAGAGCGGGATTGTAGGACAGGAGACAAAAGCTCACCAACAGAACCATCTCCTTATATAAGAAGACATAGAGATGTCTTTATTTGAGCCTCGGATATAAATCATGTTTTGAAAATTCTTTACATACCCTTTCTAGAAAACAAAACTCACATCTTAGGATTAGTAGTGTTAACTTCATGAAGAGTACTTGGAGAAGCATCCACCAAACAGTTTGAGGATGAAGCAGGAGAAGAAGTACATGCACCACTTATTTATTGAACACAATCTGCATCCCCGCTGACATTTCAGACAGAACGTGGTCTGTGGCGCCCTTTTCAACAAATTTTATTTTTCAGGCTCACCCCAAGTGTGCCCTTTACAACTCGGACTCTGAATAAGGCAACAGTTCTTGGTGAATATGCTTTACCCAAGGGGGTGAGTAGAAGCTGTCTGTTCTGTACCTCACCAGACTTTGAAGGGTGCACTTTCCAAATATTCACCAGATGTCCCTGAGCCCTTTTGCTAGGGGAGCATCTATCTCAGAAACATACAGAAAGGGCAATTGAAAGATTATTTAAAACAGAATAAGAACAGTGGCTGTGGAGACAGAGACCTTAATTCAGTACCCTCTTACCTGTGTGGTCTTGAGTGAGTTGTGTATTGTCTGTGCACCTCAGGTTCCCCCTCTGCAAGGTGAATAATAGAATCTTCCACAGGAGGGTGCTGTGAAAATGAAAGGCAAAGTTGAAAAGTGCTATGCCTATTTGATACCTGGCATTTTTTAAGCACTCAATGCAATCGTCATTATAAATCTGTGAATTGTTTTCACATGTGTAAGATAATCACCTTTGTAAATTTTGCCATTCAAATGTTCTCTTCTGGGTTTTTTTTTTTTTTCTTGCACCAGGGTTCGAATTTGGGTCCTTGTACTTGTGGGGCAGGTGGCAGAGCCACTGAGCTACATCCCCAACGCATCTTGTTATTTTAAATGTCACATTTTTCTATGTGTTTTTAGACAGTGTTAATGCTAAATACCTATGTACTCGGGTCTGATGAAGACAATTTTGAAGATTCTGATCAGTTCAGACCTGAACGTTGGCTTCAAGCGAAGAAAAAGATCAATCCCTTTGCACACCTTCCATTTGGCATTGGGAAAAGAATGTGTATCGGCCGCCGATTAGCCGAGCTCCAACTCCACTTGGCCCTCTGCTGGGTAAGTCCTTACCGGCTTTGTGGCTCTGCTCTGTGCTGTCCAGGGGGTGGGAGGACAATGGGCTGACCCTTCCTGCTGTGTGCATCCTCCAGATCGTCCGCAGATTCCACATCGTGGCCACAGACAGGGAGCCAGTCCGCATGCTGCACCTGGGCATCCTGGTGCCCGACCGGGTGCTGCCCGTGGCCTTCTGCCGGAGATGAGACCCTTGGGTGAGCATCTGGGGTGCTCTTCATGATCTGCAGGGTGGGCTGGGGTGAGCTGGGTGAAGTCAGCCAGACCTGGGTTCGAATTCCCACCCGCCCCAACTCTCTGAGTGACCTTGAGAAGTTACTGAACCTCTCTGCTTCCATTTGTTATCTGCAAAATGGGGACAAAAATAGTATCAGTCACAGAAAATTAATATAAATAACAAATACTTAGCCGGGAGGCTGGCACCAAAGCTTTTAGGCCCTGTGGGCCACAGAGTCTCTGTCACATCCACGAAGGCTGCCTTGTAAACTGAAAGCAGCCATGGACACTCAAAATAAATGGATGGAGCCAGGTGTGGTGGTACACACCTGGAATTCCAGCACTCTGGGAGGCTGAGGCAGGAGGATTGCATGTTTGAACCCGGCTTGGGCAACTTAGCAAGAGCCCTGTCTCAAAGTAAAATTAATAATAAGGGCTGGAGACATAGCTCAGTGTGAATGCACGGGCTGCTGTGTATGCTTTCCACTGCTACCATAGCGCATTACTAAGACTTTCTGGGTGAAACAACACAAATGTATTCTCTCATTTCGGTAGGTCAGAAGTCTGACATGGCTCTTTCTAGGCGAAACGTAAAGTGTCCGTGAGACTTCATCCTTTGCGGGGTGGGGGCCTGGAGGGGAATCCATTTCTCACTTCTTTGTGTTGCTGGCAGAATTTAGTTCTTTACGCATTCCAGCCTGAGGTCCCCGTTTCATTGCTGCCATCAGCCCAGGGCCAAAACCCGGCTCTTAGAGCTTGCCCGTGTCCCTTGGCTGGCGATTCTCCTCCATCTGAAGCCAGTGACAGTCAGCTGAGTGAGTCCCTCGTGCTTCTGGTCTCTCCTCCTCCGTGTGCCCCACGGGCAGTTACTGCCCAGAGTGGTCTCCCCATCTTACGATCTTCAGGCGCGTGTGCGAAGTCCCCTTTGCCGTGTAGAGTCCCCCTTTCCACAAGTTCTGGAGTCGGAGCATGAATCTCTTCGGAAAGCCTCATTCTGCTTAGCATCCCTGCATTCCAGTAAAACTTTGTAAAAACGTGTTGGTGGCCCACATTCGGCCCCGGGGTCTCGGTTTATGGTATGCGGTACATACACAGAAAGGAAGCACGTATTCAGCCCAGATTGAATACAGAATGATAACTTTGCACTGCAGTATGTCAGGCAGTACTTTTGCGGACAGTAGAAAGGTTCTCGTGTCCTCCTCACCAGCCTTCCCATTCCTACATCCCAACCTACTTAATTTCTACTACAGTATTTTCTTCCAATTAACCTGGGCCTAATACGTCATGCTTTAGCCTTGTCCTGAGAAATAATCCCCTTCATGAAACGAAGCGTTTGCAAGCCCAGTTATTTTCTCCCAAGCGAATGAAATACGATTGGACCTGACTACGCGTCCGCTTCAGAAACCCCCAACATCACCCGACAGGGAGCGCTGATATTCCCAGCATGCTCCTTGTAGGGCGCCACCCTGGTATGCACACCCGGCCTCCCTCACCCTGCCATTTTCACAGCATCCCTAGAATTTGCTGAGAACCAGCGACCGTTTCCCAATTGCAAGTATCCAATGACAAGTGAGATATTCAGGACGACAAGCAATTTACAGATGAAGTTTTGGAATGAGGCACAAATAAATACACTCTTATTCCTTCCCAAGAGTCTGGTTCCACTACAAAATTTGTCAGACTCCATGCATCTCAAGCAACAGAAAGTTGCATGGTGATAGCTAGGACAATGAGAGAATTCTAGCTTTCTGGTGAGACTCCCACCCCACCCCAGTCAGATAATTTCTCTCATTGCTTTGATTTGTAATTAGGACATACTTTATTTTCCAGACTTTTTTTTTTCCATCCAAATCAAGAACAACCATCTTTAACTTCCTGTAAGAATGGTACTTGTGGCTTCTGCATTCCTGGAAAGCAAACTTCGAACACTAGCTCATGCAACAGCATATAAAGGGTAAATGTTATCGAGGGTTTCTGCACCTGCCCTTCCAGCTTCACTGTGAAATCTGTAACTCTGAAGAGTAAGTTTCCATTTCACAACAAAAGGCCTGATTCTGCCTTTCAAGTCTGGGACTTGAAATCTTCCCAAGTCTGGGACCTAGGGGCATAAGGACAGTCTGTTTACTGTAACTCTGTGTACTGTGACACTTGGGTGTATAGGTGCTTGATGACAGCATCCAAGCTGATTAAAGTGATCAACTCATAAAACTGTCTTTTCTGCATTTCAGTGGAGACATTATTGAGAAATTAGGGAATAGCTCTATTTCAGAAGCAGTTTAATAAAGCCAGAAGTTCTTCTAAAAGAATACCTTAATGATTTACTCAATTTGATCAAAGTACCCTGAAATTTTTTTTTATTTCACTAGTGTGTTTTCCTCTATGGTATCAGAATGTGGATGAATGAAGTTGTGTGTGTGTGTGTGTGTGTGTGTGTGTGCGCGCCAGTGGTAATTTGTTTCAGTCACTTTTTATTTAAAGATATAAATTTAGGATCTGTTGTGCTGGGAAATTATCTAAAGTTTGGTCCCAGCTTAAAAATATTTATTATGATCTTAAGAAAATGACTTTTCTACCCTTCACTTTCCCTCTGTTATATGGAGAACAAGAAAATACGTATTTGTTGGGCTGAGGATTTAACTCAGTGGTGCTGCCACCTGCCTCGCAAGCACAAAGTCCAGAGTTTGATCCCCAGTACCAAAAATGAAAAAGAAAAGAATGTATTTGTTAAGATTACATAACAAGCCGGGCGTGGTGTGGTAGCGCATGCCTGTAATCCCAGTACTTGGGAGGCTGAGGCAGGAGGATCACTGGGAGTTCGAGACCAGCCTGGGCTACATAGTGAGTTCCAGGTCAGACTCAACTACATAGTGAGACCCTATCTCAAAAAAAAAAAAAAAAGATTGCATAACATTTCTGTGTGATTTTTAAATCTAAGAAAATATGGTTTCATTAATGCAAAATGCATAGATTTGTGCAATACTTTAAAATTGTTTACATGTGGCTTTTTATGCATATTTTTACTATCAGTTTTCTCTAAAGCATATTGTATATTTCTGTATTTTTGATAATTTCTATTTTTAGGTTATATTTTTAGAATATTTTGGAATTGTACATTTATATCTCTATATTTGAATGAATGTATACATTTATTAAAATAAGTGTGTGCTTTCTCCCTGCTGTAAAATTGGTTAGAATTTTAAATCCAAAAGTGTTATCAGATTTTATTTGTATACCTTTAAATGCTTTGAAAGTTAGAATAAAATGTTTTTAAAAAAAAAAACAGTTTTTTTCTCCTTTGTTGCATTTATCATGTCAAAATTTTTAAAGTCTGTCTTACTGGTAGAGAATTTTCTTCTGTGGCCATTTTATAAGCCCTGTATCACAAATCTATCCTTCAAATAAACACAGACTTCCAAGGAAGTTTCACTGAAAGATAATCCTTTTAAGCACACAATTTTCCCGATGTGGAAATACTTCCCGGGCCGGTTACCACCGACTTGCCCGCTGTCCCCTCAGGCCGGCTGTGCTCACTGACTCCTGCTCTGGACTTCTGCGGTGCCTCCCATGCCTTCACACTGACCCTCGCTTCCCTCCCATCTGGCCTCTGCGCACTGCTGGTCTTTGCTGCACGTGTGCATGCCGGCCTTCCCTGGCCTTGTCGCACGGCCCCACGGACCCCAGGCCTCAGCCATGCATCCACCCCCAGTGCCACCGGCTGCACCACACTGGCGTCTGCCAGACTCTTCTGCTCCTTCGGCGCCCTCTTCCCACGCGGGCTGCACCTGCGGTCTTGCTCCTGGGTCTTCCTCGCGGCACTCTGCCTGCCATGCTCCCAGTGCCCCGCAGCCCTGCTCTGGTTTCCTGGAGGAAGTCTTCCTGGATCACCTACGTCCTGCAGAGGCTGACCCTGGGACCAGAACCCCATGAGGCCACGACTCCTGGAAAAACCCACCAGGCAGTGGGGCAGCAGGATGGGGAAAGGCCAGGAGCTGAGCAAGGCTGTGATTTGGGGTCACGTCCCAGCCTCAGTGAGATCCCGGGGAACTCTGGGTACACGCTGCGGCCCAGGCTGTTCTCAGGCTCCACTGTGCCTGCAGAGGCCAAGGTGGTAGGGGCGAGGTGAAGCGTGGATGGTGTGGCTGCCCCCTCTCCGAGCCGCACACCCAGCACGGCAGTAACAAAGATGATGAGGATAACTAAGGTTTGTAGACCGCTCCGCATGCCCTGACCCTTCAGAGCACCTGCTCCCTGGGAGTTCAGGAGACCTCACCACCGGCCTGTGCCGTGGGCACAATGATGCTTCCCATTTCGCAGCTGGGAAAGCAGGCGGAGAAAGGGCCCATAATGTGCTTAGGATCACCAAATAGGACTCCAGGATGTCTGGGTCCAGTCCCTGCCCGAGGATGACAAGAACCTCTCCTTCAGTGCCCACCATGGGGCAAGTTTATGTGCAGCTGTGGGATTACTTGATGGGCACACGCCAACCCCACCTTCCTCTAGAACATAAGATGCAGTGGCAGAGGGGACATGGGAGCTGCCACTGTGCCTGAGATGCCAAGCTTACAGCTCATAATCGGAACGCACTAAACATTTCTCTTTGTCCTTCTTGGTGATGTTTGCAACAACCACGTCTGATGACCAAGAAAGCTAGGACAGTTCCCCCAGGCCACACCGTTATGCGGCTGGACTCATCCTCATGACACGTTGTAAAATCTCCACTCTGAGGTCCTGCACAGCATTGGTTTGTATAATGCTTGTCACAGGGTAAATGTTTACTAGCTCAGAGCTACTGTTTTCATCCTCAGTAATGTGTGCTGTGCCATGCATGCACCTTATTATTATAAATTCTCCAGCCCCTATTCTGTCTCCAATGAGGCTCAGTGATTTAGCTTGAATGAAATCCCCTGGATGTTTAAAGGAAATCAGTTGGCAATGAACTGCGGGACGTGGTCCATTTAACTTCTGTGATGTTCAAACAGTCTTTCTGAATAGGCGACACGGAAGAAAAGACAGGAGGAAAGGAAGAGGAGGAGGACAGGGGAGAACTGAGATCAAGGGACTTAGCTGATTGCTGTGTCTCTGCCTCTCTGGGAAGTAGAAAGTGATTTATGAGAAAACTATTTCCCAGGCTTGTAGAAGGCCTGGCATTTGGGGCAGTAGGAGAATGTGGCACAGGTGACTGCAGCAATTCCAAATCAGAGAGCGAGGCAACGTGTGGTCAGCTCCTGCCTCTTTCCTCCTGCACATCTCAAAGTGCGGGTGTCTTCCTGCCTGCTGCACAGCCCCAGGAGCCAGGGATATGCATTTTTCAGCCATCCTCATCACGTTGTTTTTGAACAATGGAACAGAAGCCCCTTCCAACACTGGAGGAAGTGCTGTCAGAGTTGAGCGATATGGTGCAATGAGGGTGCACAGATAATACAAGAATTGTGGGAACCCTTGAAAGTGTAAGAAATTCTGTCATTACTTGGTTGGTTTTCAAGCCCAAATCCTCATTGTTCCCCTGTTCTAATGAAACACGCTCTGTAAACTCCATGCTGGCCTAACAAGGAAATTGTGGATTTTAGAATTAGTAACCTCCCCTGGAATCCCATCCTAAAGAGACCATTTCCTAGCTGTGTGATGAAGAATTTCATTAACTCTCTTAAGCTCAGCTATTAAATGTACAAGTGTTTTCATGAAGACTGAAACTTTTAAAATATACCTAGTTCAGAACTTGACATAAAACACAAAAGTGTCAGAAATTGTGTTTCTGGATTAAAGGCACAGAAAATGAAGCATATCTCTTAATAAAAACAGGGGAGAAAAATACATCACATTCTTGCTCATAGAACATGCTTAAGTAAATGCAAAGGAATTGAAGTTATCCCCTGTATATTAGCAGACCATAGTGCAATTAAACTGGAGATCATGCATAAGAAATTGCAAGAACTTCACAAACACATGGGAAGTGAATAACATCCTGCTGAACAACAAACGGGTCACAGAGGAAATTGAAGAAGAAATTAGACAGTTTCTACAATTAAATGATAATGCCAGTACAACATACAGGAATCTATGGGACACAGTGAAAGCAGTTCTATGAGGGAAATTCATAGCAGTAAATGCCCATACTAGAAAAACAGAGCAAGCTCCAATAAACAACCTAATGCTGAACTTTAAGCTCCTAGAAAAGGAAGAGCAAAGCAAATTGAAAGCTCATACAAGGGAGGAAAGTATAAAGATCACAGCAGAAATTAATGTAATGGAGACTAAGAGAATGATACAAAAAAATCAATAAACCAAAGAGTTGGTTTTTCAAAAGAATAAATAAAATTGATAAACCCTTAGCCAACCTGAACAAAAAGAAAAGAAAAGGCTCAGATTCATACAACTAGGAATGAAAAAGGTGAAATCAAAACAGATCCACCAGAAATCCAGAGGATCATCAGTACCTACTTAAAAACCTGTACTCTAATAAAATGAAAAACACAGAGGAAATGGACAGAGTCCTGGATACACATGAATTTCCAAAGTTGAATGAAAAAGATATAAAAGTCTAAAAACCCCAGTTACATTCAATGAAATTAAAAATGTAATTAAAGCATTACCAACAAAGAAAAGCCCAAGTCCTGATGGCTTCACTGCTGAATTCTACAAGACATTTAGAGAAGAACTATCCCCACTACTTTTTAAACTCTTCAGTGAAATTGAAAGGGAAGCAATACTTCCAAATTAATTCCTGGAAGCAAGTGTTATTTTGATTCCAAATTCTCAATAAGATACTGGAAAATGGAATACAGAGGATCATCAAGATGATCATACATCCTGACCAAGTCAGATGTATCCCAGGGATACAAGAATGGTTCAACATATGTAAATCAATAAATGAAATACACTATATTAACAAAGTCCAGGACAAAAACCATCTCAATAGATGCAGAAAAAGCATTTGACAAAATTCTACATCCATTCATGATAAAAAAAAAAACCTGCAGAAAATTGGAATAGATGGTCTTTATCTCAACCTGATAAAGGCTATCTATGAAAAAGCAACAGCCAACATCATACTCAATAGTCAAAAACTGAAAACCTTCATGCTAAAATCAGAAACAAGATAAGGATTCCACTACCACCACTCGTGTTCAATATAGTTCTGGAAACATTAGCTACAGCAATTGAAAAGAAAAGAAATTAAAGGAATAAAGTTAGGAAAGGAAGAAGTTAAGGTGTCATTATTTGCTGATGATATGATACCCTACATAGAAAACCCAAAGAACTCTACCAAAAGACTTCTAGACTTTTTGATTGATTCACTGACAGAGAAATTAGGGAAATAACTCCTTTCACAGTAGCATCCAAAAAAATGAAATATATATGAAGGAAGCAAAAGACCTCCACAGTGAAAACTACAGTACTCTTAAAAAAAAAGAGAGAGATTGAAGAGGGTAACAGAAAATGGAAAGACATCCCTTGCTCCTGGGTAGGACAAACCAACATAGTGAAAATGGCCATACTTCCAAAACTGCTATACAGATTCAATACACTCCTGATCTCATACTATTAGAAAGCATCTGCAGTGGAAGAGAAACCACCAATGGAGCTAAGAGACAATCTAAAAATAGGGAAAAATTTTACCAGCCTCTCCTCAGGCAAAGACTACTATTTAGAATATATAAAGAACTCAAAAAAATCAGAACCCC